CATCCTAACAGACTCTAGTCGAGCTACAGGGGCAAATGTCTCATCAAAGTCAACACCCTCCTCTTGGGTGTACCCCTGAGCCACAAGACGGGCCTTATTCCTAGTAATCTCCTGATTCATCCGTCTTATTTTTAAAAATCCATTTGGTTCCAATGACGTTTGAATCAGAAGGTCTAGGGACAAGTTCCCACACATCATTTCTCACAAACTGTTCAAGTTCTTCATGCATAGCCTGAATCCAAAAATCATCACACAGAGCCTCTTTAGCATTTTTAGGTTCCAACTTAGACACATAACATGCAAGGTGACATAAACCAGCCATCTTACGAAAGTCAGGTTTAACTCCTCTAGTATTACGTTCAGATAGTCCTCTATGATTTGATCCTTAGGATGATATTTCTGAATCTTGGCAGGAGGATCTCGCCGAGATTCATCCTGATTTCCGGAGGATGTTGGAACCGCATATTCATTAGACTCCTCATTTTTATCATGTTCAGGGATTTCTGTCTTAACATCATTTAGTACATTCTCAGTTTCAGAACTTGACAACTTTTTACCACTGGACACATCTATGTTAATCACTTCAGGCACAACAGCACAATCAAGACCATCATCAAAGACAACATTTATAGACTCCATAACCACCTCAGTACGTAGATTATACACACGAAAAGCACGACTATTAGCAGAGTATCCAAGGAACTGACCCTCATCACTCTTGGATTCAAACTTACCGAGGTGTTCCCTATCATTATAAATGTAGCACTTGCACCCAAAGATGTGAAAATATTTCACATTTGGTGCCTTACCTTTCCATATCTCATATGAAGTTACTCCAGTCCCTTTCCTGCAATAAACACGATTAATTATGTGGCATGCCGTGTTCACAGCCTCTGCCCACCATCTTAAGGACATGCCCTGCGATGCTAACATAACTCTCGCCATTTCTTGAAGGGTCCTGTTCTTACGTTCAACAACCCCATTTTGCTGTGGAGTGATAGGAGAAGAGAACTGGTGAAATATACCACGTGATTCACAAAATAACTCAAAACCACGATTCTCAAATTCCTTACCATGATCACTCCGGATTGCCACCAACTTGGTTTTTTTTTCATTTTCAAGTTTTAACGTGAGTTTTTTGAAGGCATCAAGTGCTTCAGACTTATCTTTAAGAAAATCAACCCAAGAGAATCTAGAGAAATCATCCACACAGTCTAGAATATATTTCTTACCGCTGTAGCTTTCAACCTGAATTGGTCCCATCAGGTCCATGTGAATCAATTCCATGACACGGTTTGTACTGACCTCTGCCAACTTCTTATGTGAAGCCCTTTTCTGCTTTCCCATTTGGCATGATCCGCACATCCGTGGTTCTTCCTTTTTCAACTTCGGCAATCCTCGAACAGCCCCTGAGGA